TTTTTCTTTGGAAAATGGAAGGAATGTTTATGATATTTTACATGAAAGGGTTTATTTTTATCACTGTGGTCGAATTCTAAAACTACTTCCACATTTTTTTGACAATGTGATATTACATCGACCATGTGATATCACAATTTTTCATGTGGAAAGTGGAAACTTAACAATAACTTTCATTGTTTTCCTCAAAAATTTGTGAGAGGCGAAAAAAAACCGATTTGTGAATCCACAAACCGGTTTGTGATATCACATTGTGATATCACATTGTGATTCCACATTGTGATTCCACATTGTGATTCCACATTGTGATTCCACATTGTGACTCACTTTTATGGTCATTACTCATATATATGTTTTTTTACTCACGCTGAACAAAACTCAACGAAATTTGATGTTATCAATTCAGCGACAATCTCTTTTTGACAGAACATTTCTGTCAAACTTTTCTACAGTCATAAAGTTCGATGCATACTACACTCAAGAAATGGCTTGGATAATTCCATTAGAATATTCGGAAGATAGAAATCGTATGCGTATTATTAGAAAATACCTACGAGATGTTATGAATCCATTCGATCTTTCGGAGAATTTGTAAGTGAACATTTTTACACGAATAAATTTTTCTTAAATTTTTGAAGAATGAATGAAATTTGTTTGGAAAATCGTAGGTTCTGTCGGGCATATCGTATTCCAAAATTGCTCGTTCATCAATTGATTGAGGAAATTCGCCCATTTGCGCAAAATATTGGTTTGGTGCCACTGCACCTACAGGTGCTATCCGTTTTAAATTTCTATGCAACAGGCGGCTACCAAATGAGCGTTGGCTCACATGCCTTCCATAATCTGAGCCAAACCATGATGAGCCGATACGTCAGTTATTATAGTCATTTAATAACACAGCATTTAGCCCCAAAATATATACGTTTTCCCCGAAGTGTGAATCAAATGGCCGAAATAAAAACTCATTTCGAGGCTCAATATCATTTTCCGGGTATTTTGGGTGTAATTGACGGCACACATATCGCTCTGACTGCTCTGCCATTGGAAATAGAAAATGCTTTCGTCAACCGTAAGGGTTACCACTCCATCAATACACAAATAGTGTGCGACGCAAACATGCTCATTATTAATATCAATGCAAGATTCCCGGGCTCAACACATGACTCTTTTATTTTTGGTGGCAGCATGCTACACACCCGCCTGGAAGAGCTCCACCAAAACGACCCAGCAACATTCAATTTTCTATTGGGTAAAAGAATAATTTGAATTATAAGCAAAAACACATTATATTCTTTATCAAAAATGATAATTTCAGGTGACTCGGCATATTCTCTTTCACCTTGGCTTATGAAAATATTCGACGGAAATAATTTGTCGGCAGAACAAGAGCATTTCAATCATGAATTGTGTGCTATTAGACAGATTGTTGAACGCACTATCGGGCTTCTGAAAGTGCGTTTTCGATGCATTTTGGGTGACAGGAAACTGCGGTATAAACCAACCAAAGTGGGGAAAAATATTTATTCATGTGCAACTCTACATAACTTTCTGATTTATAATAAATTTAACATTTTACGTGACATAGATATGCTTGCAAATGCCATGAACGCTCAAAATGTCCCTAGCGTTGTTGCCAATTTACCTCAAGCAAATTTACAGTCCGGTCAATTACGTCGGAACGAAGTGATAAATTATTTAAATAATAATCGAATTTAAAAATAAAAACAAAACGAAAGATTTCAAACAAAATATGACATCTTTTATTGGGTATGATTTTGCACCAACTTAGTCAGAAGGTTAATTTGTTTATTGTTTTGTGAAATAATATGTTTCAGCAAATTGTTTGTTCCGATTTGGAGTTGCATCGCTTCACTAACGTGTGGAGGAATCGGTATTTTCATATTGATTCTTTTTGGCTTCTTTTTCGTCAACGGAGGCTCTAGATCACCTCCATCTTCGATATCACATGCAAGGCTTTCTTTGGACACATTGTTTTTTTCAGGCAATATACTCGTCAATCGATTTTCTTCCTGACTTTCGCTTGAACGATTGGCACCCAAATTGTTATTTTGTTGTGAGACCGTACCAACAGCTGCTTTTGCAGCTAAACGTTGATTAGATTGCACAACAGTCTTGTCAACAACAGCAACTCCTTTGAAAATGAAGATAAAAATCAATTATTCATATTTTTCAATCCACTTACTAATCACTTACTTTGGGTTGCGTTTTGCAAATGACCCTAGAATATAAAAGATTTTTTTAAATCAAGAATAATCAAACATATTTTGTTAACTAAACTAACTGAATTTGCCGAATAGTCTTGATAACTTGAATGTCCAGACGGAATCACAGATTGTTTCATCACTTGAGCAATTTCGAATTTGAAGAGCAAAAAAAAAAAAAAAGGTCCTCGCTTTCAAAAATCGATTCTATCTAGTGTAAAACCGGTATCCAGAACAAAGTGAGGACTAAAAAAAAAAAAAAAAAAAGTCCTCACTTTCGAAAATCGATTCTATCTAGTGTAAAACCGGTATCCAGAAAAAAGTGAGATCTAAAACAACAAAAAAGGTCCGAAAATGGCAACGGGTCCAAAAAAATCGTTGGGGGTCAAATTTTCCCAGGGGGGATCAAATTTTTCCAGGGGGGGTCAGGATCAACGAGATCAGACTATGTCAGAACCTATGGTGTCCATTTTGAAATCGGACCACGACTGTGTGAAATAAAATATTCGAAACAATTTTTAAACATTCAATAACAAACCAACAATATGAAATTCTCACTCGTTTCCATAATTTGGGTAGCTTCTGCGGTGGCCCTGCTTCATTCATACGGTCACTTAATCGTTTCCATAGTGATTCTTTCAAATCTTTGCCATTATTTTGCGAAAATTTGCCGAACAAAGAATTATAATTGGTCGACATAAAATCGACCAATATTTCTTTTTGTGTGGCGTTGATTCGCGACATTGCAAACACCAAGCAACCAACACACACTGTTGACATTCGTTGTTGTTGAACGGCAACTGAATGTTTGAGAGCTCGTGCATACAACGCGTTCATTCGCGCTTTCTTCGATGAATGCGATGTATTTGTTTGTATACATAGAATTCGTTTGACATTTGTTTCGAAATCGAAAAGGAGCAATGCGCGTTTTATTCAAATGAATTACAAAATCCAATGCAATAATTTTTTTTGAAGATATTCGTTATTTACAAATAGTAATAAATAGTAACTTGTGTTTCCGTCAACTAGAATAGCATGTGGAAACTTATCACACAAAATGCATTCGTTTT